ATCAGTCATTCTGAACTACACAAGTGTAACACTACTGAAGCAATACCATGAAATTGAAGGAGCCTTGCTTTAATAATATAAATAAAACTTCCCTCTGACACCTGTGGGCATGTGGAATGTTCCCTGTACATCTCAATGGCTGTGAAAATTTAACAGGGATGAACATGGATCTCATAGTTATAATCTACTCCTAGAGAAATACGGATGCCTCTGATAGACGGGATGCAGAGTGGCCTGCCTGTCTCCAGGAGGAGTACCCAAACCTACTTCAACTATGTTCCATGAACACAACCCAAATAAGAACAAAACCACCATTAAGACCAAGCCATTTTTGAGATTCATGTGAAAGAAGGGTGGGCAGTATTAGACTTAGTTTCCAGTGGGAAGAGGAAACCCCACGTCTGAACACCTGGCCTGAGGACTTTGTGGAAGAATGATGTCCAACGAGAGGTGCACTGTTGGGCCAGGGACAGATCTGAGCGGCCAAAGTGTCTGCCTAGCAAGTGCAGTCCTGAGTTTGTTCCTCGTACCAAAAAAACCCAAAAACAAAACAAAACAAAACAAAACAAAAAAAAAAAAACCAGAAAGAAAAGAAAAGAAGGCTGCATTGTCCCTGATTCTTACCTTGAACAGCAGATGTGACCACATCTTCTAAAATGTCCTTCACCACTTCCTGGGCTCCATCATCAGACCCTACATATAGCCAAACACACAGCATTTTGAGGGAAAAGAAAGAAGGAGAAAAAGAAAATTACATCAATGTTCCTCTAAAGTCACCTTTCAGAGGGCAAAGGGTACAAGTCAGTTCTCCTCAAGGCAAATTCCACTGTACCCGCCGAAACAATCTCTTGGGTTTCAGAAACCCTCAGGCAGCATCTGCTCTGCGCTTTGCTTCATGGAACTAAAATAAAGCCTCCACCTTGTTCTCTTCCTTCCTAAGTCCCAGCTACTCAGCCCAGCACCACTCACACTAGTTTGGGGACAGAAGCTGGACTTTATCCAGCCACAGATGAGGCTTTCTCTTGTGCCTTTGCCCCAAGACCCTGACTGCAGAGCATGCGGCTCTATCCACCCTGTTAGCCCAAGATTTATTTCTAAATTTAATTTTAAAAGAGTTCAGACTTGGAGTGATCCTCCTGCCTCAGACTCCCCAGTACTAGGATTACAGGCGTGTACCACCACACCTGGATTCGGAGCTCACAGGGCACACCCAGGGTTCTGGGACCCCGAGGCTGGCACAGCATGTGGCACCAGGAATGGAACTTGTGCTTGCCAGGCAGCGCTTATGCCGCCAAGCTATCTCTCAAGCCCTAGCTCAAGATTTAGCAAGAGATTTCTGATGTGATATTTTAAGATTTACTAAACTTTGAACAGAATTATTCTGCAAAATGGAAACTACTAAGTGAAAGAAGTAGTTCAGCAGCTTTTCCTCTTTTAATTTTTTAAAAATTGTTCTTTATTGACACAGGGTCTAGATACGCAGCTTGAATTCATAGTGATCCTCCTGTTTCAGCCTCCCTTAGTGCAGCGATTACAGGCAAGCACCATCATGTGGGGTTTGGTGCCAGTTTCGATGGCCAGCACAGCACACCTGGAGTTCCAGGGCAGCATGGCATGCAGTACTGGGGATGAGAACTTGGGTCCTTGCACTTGACAGGCAGGCATTTAGACCACCAAGCTACCTCCCCAGCCCTCCCTCTCTTTTTTAAACAAAATGAGTCCTTAGTTTATGAAATAAGCAGCATTTGACCAGACAGGAGTAAATATTACTGATTTATAAACCACCACACTAAAAAGGCCATTACCTTAGACAAAGCATAGTAACCCTTTTAATTCTGCATTCTATCTAATAGTAGTCTTTATTTTTATTTTTTTAAATCATTTATTTATTTGGTACAGGGTCTTGCTACACAGCTTGAACTTGTAGCAATCCTCCTATGTCACCCTCCCCAGCACTGGGGTTAAAGATGTGTGTTTTGTGGCCAGCATGGCACACCTAGGGTTCCAGGGCTGGCAGGACACACAGTACCAGAATCAAATCTGGGTCCTTGTGCTTGCTGAGCAGGCACATAGACCACTGAGCTATCTCTCCAGCCCTAACAGTACTCTTTAAATTAACCCGTGTGTGTGTGTGTGTGTGTGTGTGTGTGTGTGTGTGTTAGTTACTGGGGCCTGACCTCTCTAGTCCTTCACACACTACATCCCCAGCTCCTTTAAAATTTTTATTAACTCATCTTAAATAATGAAATTCAGAACGTTAAGTTTTGATGTACTAATTATATTTTATAAGTGAATGTTAATATAAATGTGTAACTATTAAAATAACCACCCACCTATGAACTACTTAAAATCATCCCACTTACACCATGACATGCAGATGTTTCTAAGTTCCAACATTTTCTGAGATTATGATTTAATAAAATTACGGTGGCAGTCTCTAATGTGTACTGTCTGTTACAAATACCTTGTTCACATTCAACACCCATAACACCCACTCATTTTATCAGAGGCTCTGGGAGTTAGTTAGCTGGTGGACACTTCTGACCCACAAGTATGTGTCCTTCAGTATACATACTACTTTTTAAAAATTTTTAATTAGAGGGCGTGCCCCTTAGCTCAGTTAAGAGCCTGCTCAAACAATCAGTCAGCTCAGGTTGCTGTGGTTCGATCCCCAGAACTCAAGCCAGCCAAACCTGCCCTGAAGGAATTCTGAGCGAGCCAATAAATAAATAAATAAATAATAGAATAAAATTAAATTAAAAAATAAAAAAAATTTAATTAGCTGCCCATGTTTATAAACTAAGAAACTAGTCATTAAAAAATCCAGATCTGGCTTCTATTTAAAAACTGACAATGGGCCAGCCAGATAGCTTGGTGGACTAAAGTATCTGCTTAAGCAGACAGCAGGGATCCCTGACACCATAAGCCATGCTGGCCCCGCCTCCAGGACCCACTTAGAAGGTGACTGAGACTGGGCATGGTGTCATGGGAGCCTATAACCCTAGTGCTTGGGAGGCTGACAACAGGAGAATCACTACGAGGCCAATCTACGCAGCGAGACCTGTAGATCCTGTACTAAATATATATTTTTTTAAAAAAATTTAAAGTGCACAGGAAGATGCTCCGGCTGATGCCCTGTGCCATACTAGATTTCAGTCAACAAGAATACCATAACCAGATGCAGCCCCTGGATCTTGGACCTGGATTGCAAACCAAAATAAACCTCTTTTCTTTATAACTTAAATAAACAAACTATACAAAAAGATATATGTAGGTTCTATACAAATATTGTCACTTTGTATCTGAGACCTGACCAGAAGATTTTGGCATCTTCAGGGAGTCCTGAAGCCTAGCCTCCAAAATAATAGGGACAACTATATTCAGTCCGGAAGGAAGTCAAGGAGCCCTACTTCTGCCAGAAAGTTCTACAGAGGATGCTACTAAGGAAAAAATCCAAGCAGCAGGACTCAGCAACCTGATGCTTTCCCTGTGATAGACCTGAACAGGACTTAGAAGAGGCTTCTCTGGGTGCTGTGTTAAGCACTATCTAGTCTTTGGTGTGTAAGTTTCAAGCATGCACTGAAATGTTTGTCAATCAAATAAAGGTGCCAGGAGTATACTTATAAAACTACTGGTTCTGCTAGTTCCCTGGGGATGTTACCACTTGTCATTGTTGATAAGGCACCAGATCCTACCTGTTTCACACTCTTCCCACAAGCAAAGCACAAAGGTCACCTTGAGAAACTTCCAATTGGAGAAACCCTTACTGTTACTCCTTTCTAGTCAGCTACGAGGTCACATCCTCCCACACTAAGAGATCCATCTTTTTGTTCTAGAAGAAAATTTACCTACATTTCCCAGACTTCTCTAAAGAACAGGGTGGTCGCATGGCACAGGTTCTGGCCAGTAACAGGGAAGATTAAGTTCTTGGGGGATAGTGCTGGACAGCAGGAAGGCTTCTCTTTAGAAAGGGGAGTGATTCAACCAGCAAATAAATGCTGGTCCCCTTTGCTCTTTTCAAGACAGCATCTTGCTTTGTTGCCCAAGGTGTTCTCTAATTCCTAAGCTCAAACAATCCTCCTACCCCAGTCTCCTGGGACTGCAGTTATAGACCACCATGTCCAGCTTATTTTAAATACATTTCAGCTTTAAAAACGTGTTTCTTAAAAGAAAAGTAGTAACTATTTCAGATGGGAATCAGATATAAAAGTGGTAAGAACAGTGTAGTAGGAGAAATGAGTCTGGCTGTTTCTCATGTTAACAGTCCCAAACAATTTTGGTTATTGTTCTTACATCACTAGGTACTTCTACTTTTTTGTTACTAAAAGGCAAAGAAATTTCAGGCCAATACTTGACAGAAAATACAAAATGCACCCTACCTCTTCTGACTTATTTTTGACTGTGTGAATTACAGGTCACTGTTTTACAACACTTTTATTAGCTGTGTCACGGACATGAATGTGGAGACAATAAGTTCTCTAATGTGTTCTTTCTTAATAGATGACTTTTCCTGTCACAGAACCACACTGGCATATGGCTGGAATATGACATGAAATGCTTTGCTCCCAGGTTTTTTCTTTTAGTTTCTTACATATTAGTAGGAGCTTGGGCATCAGACACAAGGACAAACATGTTATATTTTATTGTCCCTATTCATACTTTATTGTTCCAGTGTCAGACACTGCTCTCATTAAATCTTGCAAATTTGTAAGGGAAAGTTATATTCCTTTTTTTTTTTTTTTTTAATGTATTTAGCACAGGATCTATGAAGTCTCACTATGTAGACTGGACTCACAGAAATCTTGTTTTCAGCCTCCCAAGCACTGGGATTACAGGCATGCACCACCATGCCCAGTCTCAATCGCCTTCTTAGTGCGCCCTGGGCAGGACCAGCACGGTTTGTGGTGCTGGGGATCCCTGCACTCTGCCTAAGCAGGCACTTTAGTCACTGAGCTATCTGGCCAGCCTTACATTCCATTTTTACAGATGAGAAAACTAAGGTTCAGAAATGTCTGAGACTTTGCACAAGGTCACAGAGCCAATAAATATTACAGTCATGATGTGACCTCGGCTACCTGACTAACCTCGGTACTGGCTGTGAGAAGATAAAATTTCCCGTTTTATAGCACCTAAGAGTTGTTTCCCTTTAAACAAAGAGACACAAGAAAACACAGGCTAAGAAATTTATAAGTACAGGGACCTGTACATTATTAGGTATCTAAATGTAAAATGTTCAATGCTCATTTTTTTGATACCAGGAATTGAACTCAGGACCCTGTGCTGCCAGGCAGGTGCTTGTGTCACTGAGCTATCTCCCCAGGCCCTGCCAGTGTTTAATGTTAAAAGTTTAAAAGTTATAATGTAAAGGCCCAGTGCTGGGGGAAGGGGGAGGAAAGGGAGGGAAAGATAGGGACAGAGAGGTGGGAGGAAGAGAAAGACAAAATAAGAGAAAGAGAATCATAAACTTAGAAAAATAGGAAATGACTAATATTGGGTACAGGATTTCTTTTTTTCCCAGCTTTTCTGAGATAGGGTCTCATGGCATACTTCAGGCTAGCCTCAAATTTCTGGTGATCCTCCCACCTCAGCCTCCTGAATGCTGGGATTCCAGGCATGCACCATCATATATGGCCAGGATTTTTTTTGAAGTGATAAAAACATTTTAAATTTGATTACCATGACTGCTGCATAGCCCTGTGATCATAGTGAATTATAGGGTTTTCCCCCATTATTGAGGACTGAGCGCAGGGGTACTTAACACTGAGTTACATTCCCAACCCTTGTTATTTTATGACAGGAACTTGCTAAATTGCCAGGCTGGCCCCAAGAAGCTGGGATGAAAAGGCATGCACCACTGTTCACGGCTTGAATTGTACATCTTAAATGGGTGAATTTATGGTATATGAGTTATATCCTCAAGAAAGCCATTAAAAAACAAAACAAAACAACCAAATAGCTGGGACATCAGAAGGGCTGTGTAAGAATAAATGGGATGGTTCTCCAAGGGAAGTTTAGAAAACTATGTACAAATTTCACATAACCTAGTGTATCTTAAACTTAAAAAACTTGGGGCCAGGGAGATGGCTCAGTGAAATAAGTTCTTCCTTGGCAAGCACAAGGACCGGAGTTCAATCCCCAGTTCCGCCAAAAAAAAAAAAAAAACAAAAAACACCTTAAAAGACTCATTTTGTTTTTAAAAATAGCAATCTGACCCACTTATGCAGGCTGATAATACCAACAAATCATTATATTAATCTGTTAATTTACTAATTTGGAATGAAAAACAGGAAAGGGTTAAATTATTCTTTTCTTTTTTTTTTTTTTTTTGGTGGAACCGAGAATTGAACTCAGGTCCTTGCACTTGCCAGGGAAGTGCTTATTCTACTGAGCCATCTCCCAGGCCCTACAGGGGCAAATTATTTTCCTCCATGCAAATTACATGGGGAAGCTAATTTTTGCAAGAAGATGCAGGGAGGGCTCCTAGCTAATCAGGGAACTGTATGTTGTTTCTCAGGTTAGAGAGCACAGTGCCTAGCACAAAGAGTAAGCAGTTAGGACTAGCTAAGTGACAGTGACATTACAGCACTCTCAGTAGCAAGCTGCATGTTTCCATGTCTGTCACAGAAGCACTGAAGTTTGGGCCTTTCAGAATGCTCTCATTCTCGTGGCAGCTTGTTCCCATGTTTCTGGACAAAGCTTCAGAGAGTGCACCAGATACTGGCACCCAAATATGTAGCGACATCTTAACTATAAATCATTCTCTCTTGGTGAAAGCTGAACTTCTTGTTACTGTGTTTCCATAAAATTAAATTCTAGAAGTCATGTTTTTCCCAATTCATTAAAAAATGTATTTACTGAGAACTGCTATTTGTGCCAGTGCTGAGAATACAGAGGGGAACACAATAGCCTAGGTCTCCAAGTGAGAACAAGTTAACACGAACACTTCAGTAATTTCAGGCATTCATACACTCTATTAAGAAAATAAGACAGAAGGGCCGGCCAAATAGCTCAGTGGACTGAAGTGCCTGCTTAGACATGCTCAGGGACCAGGGTTTGATCCCCGGTATGCCGTGCTGGCCCCACCCCTTGGGGCATGCCGAGACAGCAACTGAGACTGTACATGGTGGCATGCACCTGTAATCGTAGTGCTTGGGAGGCTGAAAATAGGAGGATCACTATGAGTCCGACCTGTGTAGTGAGACCCTGTAGTCCCTGTACTAAAATACATTAAAAAAAAAAAAAAAGGAAGGAAGAAAGAAAGAAAAGAATAGAATAGAAAGTGAAGAGAAGAGGAGACAGATATGATGTGTCACTGGAGAAGTCTCATTCTGAACCAAGATGAGGGGTAGGTGGAAACGAGCAATAGATGGCACGTGCAAAGGCACAGAGGCAAGTCAAGCATGGTACCTTCAAGAAGGTACCTTCAGAAACAATGCTCACAGCATCGTGAAGCAAATAAGAATCATGAAAAGGGAGCAGAAAAGTAGACAGGGCCCAGCCACATCGAGCTTTGCGAAGCACAGGAGCAAGACAGGCATGAACTGCACCCTGGAAGGGATAGGATGCAGCATTACCAAAGGAGTGGACCAGGGGAGAATCGTGTAATCATGCTTTTAAGAGCTCACTTTGGCTTCCGTAGAGAAAATGGGTCACACAGGAAGCACTTTTCATGAAGCTCAGAGGGAAGTGCTTTTCCATCTCCATAGCTATACTTACTACATCGCTTAAATATTAATATTTATTGATTGACCACAGCTTGATAAGGGTTATACTGAAAACTTGGTCCTTGCCCTAAGGGTTAGGAAGGCAGAGGCAACAACACACACAGCAGATGGGCAAGAAATTTCTGAGATCTTCCTTAAGGCACAGAGGAGCAGGAACAAGCAGAGGGCCACTCTGCTTGCCTTAAAACATGCGATTCTCAGTGGTAAATTCCTCTTCTGTGCTTTCCTTGAATAAATGGACACAGAACTTTCCTGCAACACTTACTTATTCCATTTCAGTGCCACTGCATGCCAAGTACTCTGGTAAATGAGATGGATTACAGAGAGGACAGATATATTGTGTACAACAACCAGCTTGAGTAAAGAATTACTTAACAGAATTATTTGGGAAAAGCAAATTTGTGAAAGTATTTTTTTTCTCTTTGAGTAGGGTCTTGTTCTGTAATTTAAGCTGGTTTTAAACTTACTATATAGCCCAAGTTAGCCTTACACTCATAGTGATTTTGCTGCTCAGCCTCTCTGTGCTGGGATTACAGGCAAGCACCATAATGCCCAGCCTGAAAGGAAAATTTATTTTTTAATCTTTTATTTATTCATTTGATACAGGATCTCACTACGCAACTCCGACTCATAGTGAGCCTCCTGTCTCAGTCTCCCTAGCATTGGGATTAGAGGCATGTGTCACCATTCGGTGGCCAGCACAGCAAGGGGTAAGGCTGGCACTGCATGAGGTACCCGGGATTGAATCCAGGTCCTTGAGCTTGCCAGGCAGGCACTTAAGACAGTCGAGCTATCTCCCTAGCCTAAAAGGAAATTTCTGAATCTGGTTCATATATTATATCCAGGTGGAGATGCAAACACCTAAAAGTAGTCTCAGGACAATGCTCTTCTCGAAGATTTCATGCTTTAGACTCATTTACCTTACCCAGCTATTGAATATTGTTTTGTTTAAAAAAGCAAACAAAACCAACTGATACACTTGTGAGCCAAGGAAAGAAAAGAGGCATCTGACAATCTTCCTATCCAGCATCCTGGCTCCTCCACTGAGGCCTATGAGTAGCTTCTAACTGTCAGGCCCTGGGCAAGGCACAGAGATCTAGTGTGTACAGGAGAACCAAAGCTTTCGCCCTCTTCTGGACAGAGAACACAGGCACTGAATGGCTCGTCACTCTATTAACTCACCACAGAGATAAGTGCCCAAATTGAGCCATGACACTGAACTCACATGAACAAGTGGCAGCTAGATGCATGCCAGGAACTATTTTGAGCAGACTGCACAGCTGGCAGTGGGACACTACACATCACACTTCACTGGCTGTGTTCCATAAGAGAAAAGTAAAAGGGAAATCAAGGGGAAGACCCAGAAATAGAGCAGTTGCCCTCACACGTTTCCCTCAGATGTTACCAGACACCTCCTTCATGTGCCCCTCAGCAACAAGATGATGCCCTCACCCCTGGAAGGCTCCGCCATACCTGAGAGTGACGAGCCTCTTTCTCTGGGTATGTCTCCGTTTTCTGAGCTCTCTTTTCCAGGATCACTCATGGCGTGTTCACCATTGGGTAGATCTGTTTTTTCTGGAGTTGTTGGTTTGCTCTGTGCCAGGCTCTGTTTCAAACGACTGAGCTTTGAGGACACTGTTGCAGCCTGAATCACAGGAGACTGGGGTTTTGAATGGATTGGTTTTTCCAATTCTCTGGCCTCTTGTAACTAAAAGGCAACAGTAAAAGATGAGGTCTAAATGGGATTCAGACTTAGCATCTTGGTAAGGAACAAAAATTATGCTAGCCTATTGCTTGAAAAATTTCCAACCAGCAAAACAAAAAACTTTAAAAGGAAATAAATTCAAGGAAACTTTAAATGTGACAAACTCAAAAGTAAATTCTAAATATTAACTTCATAATCCCAAAACAAGATTCTTTCTCCAACTTTAAAATGAGAAGAAAATCACAGTATAGAAAATTAAGAGAAAAAGATAAAGCTTTAAAGTGCTAGTGACCCTGCACATGCACCGAGGCCCACATGAAAGAGGAAGCAACACGACGGCTGCCGCCGTCAGCGGGAGGGACACCGCTCACCACTTGGTTTTCCATGCGGGTAAAGATGACATTCAGCATCTGGGTAAGCGTGGCCTTGGCGGTCGTCTGATTGATGAGGTTTTTGCTGGCCAGGTAGATATTATAACATGTCCTCACTGTCTGCAGGATAGTACCCTCGTGAATTTCAATGTGTGGGGAAGTCACTGCAGTCAGAAGAGCCTAAACACAGATCAGAAACCGTCACCTTTACTATCACTTACCATCTTCCTGTTCCTTCCCAGCCAAAACTTTTCTAATAGTGGACCTTTTTATTCTTTATAAATTCAAAGATGGCACTGCAAACTAAACTAGATGGACCAGCACTAAGAACCATCTTCTGCATTTAAAAGCAATAACTAACTCCCAAATATACAAGTTACTTGAAGTGATTATGTTGTATTGAAGTAAGTCTTACTGACTCATTTTTTAAAAAGCTACACTTATGAATATTGACTAGAAAACCTAGAATGAAAATAAAGGGGGCCTGCCTGTTAGTTTAGTTGTTTTAAGCACCTGCTCATGCAAATGCAGTCAGGCGCAGGATACTGTGGCTTGATTCCCAGCTCCACCTGCATTACCAGACCTGCCCTTCAGGCAGCCTGAGCCACAAAAAAAAAAAAAAATCCTTTGGGCCCAGGAGATAGCTCCGTGGAGTAAGTGCTTGCCTGGCAAGTACAAGGTCCTGAGTTCGATCCCTGGTACCACAAAAAAAAAAAAAAAAAAAAAAAAAAAAAAAAAAAAGAAAGAAAGAAAAAGAAAGAAAGAAAGAAAGAAAGAAAGAAAGAAAGAAAGAAAGAAAGAAAATAAATTAAGACACTTCTCTTAGGATGAAAAAAATGGTTCTACTTGATCTTACCCACATGAACCACAAAATACATGTTTCAGTGGGTAGCTGTCTCTTGGTCCTTGGTGGGCTTCCAGGGACCTTTAAGAGAGGTGCAGGGGCCAGGGAGATAGCTCAGTAGAATAAGCGCTTGCCTGGCAAGCGCAAAGGCCTAAGGTCAATCCCCGGTTCCGCAAAAAAAAAAAAAAAAAAAAAAGAGAGAGAGGTGCAGATGACACAGAGCCAATCCTCACAGAACTACAATAGCCAGGTCCAAAGATTCGGAGGAATGGCCACACCTATCCTGCTCCCGTTCCTTGACAAGCAGATGGCCCCATCTCATGTCAATCCATTCCTTGCAAGTGATATGGCACAGGGGGGCAGAGTAGGGGACACAGGCACAAGGCAAGCTGGTAATAAGAGTATTGAAGACCTGCTGAGACATGGCCCGTTGGGAATCCAGATTTTCCAAGGGGAAAGACCAGAGGATTCAGAGTTGATTTACAACGTTACCAGTGGAACTGTTTACTGTGAATACACACTTGGTTCTACTCTTCTTGTCTCAGGACACGGCCATAAATTCTGACACTAAACAAAAGATCTCAGTGGTGCTTAAGTTTTTCTGTTCCAGGGCAATACTGGACAACTAACACACGTTAAGTTTGAAGCCCAAATTCCCAAAGGGGAGTAGGTTTCTAAATTTACAACCCAGATCAGGCAAACAAGCAGAAATACCTTAATAATTTGTAACTGAACACCTTCATCTGTCTGTGGGCCCTGAAAACAATTGCAAATGGTTTCCACAATTCTGTCGATTAGTCGCTTCCCCAGGGCTCCGCTGTCAGGAGCATTGCCTGTGATGTGTCCATATGCTATGAGTTTCTAAACACGGAAAAAAGAGAGATTAGAAGTTTCTGCCTGGCCAGTACTGAGGCCACCCATGACAGCAAGAAACACGTAGTGAGCATGGCCTTTAACTTCCAGTTCCTATACATGTCTCTGCTCCCGGGAGCCAGGCAGCCACAACCACTTGCTGTGCAGCTCCCTCCCATCTCCTGGCAGCAGATGAGCCCAACAATGATGTCATGGTGTCCAATGGCAATAACAAGGCACAGAACATTCCCAGCACACAATTTCCTAGGTACTAGCAACCATACCAAAGACAGAAGATTACTGATTGTCTAGAGCTCAGTGAGAAGGTGGCTGGAAGGACATAGGAAGCAACAAATTAAAGATAACACGCTGTACTTGAGAGGAAGAGAACTAAGTGGCCATAGCAAGGATAGGACTAAGGCACTTTCTCCTTTCTGTTCTTCTGGAATGCTGACTTACGTTCATGTATTTCCTACTCCAAAAGATAAAGTAAATGCAGTTAACTACACCCCACACCTACATTATCAAACAATGTGGGCCATACGTGGCTGGACAGATGTGGCTGCTGAGCTATGGCCCCTGTTTGGTTACAAATCAGATTGGATACCTCATTCATTACTTTGACTTCAGCATGGAAAATCTAAAAACTAAGGAACCTTAGAGGTCAGGACGATTTCTAAACCTGTGTGAGATCACTTGTTAAAAATCCAAATTCCTAAACTTCGACCCAGGCCTCCTGAACCAGAAATCTGGGGGGCAGAGCCTGGGAATCAGTGTTATTCTCCAAACTCCTTAGGTTATTCTGATGGCTGACCAGTTAAAGGATGCCGGACTTCTAAAGTACTCTCTGCTTTTAGTGACTGGTGAACATTCTTTAAAATGCTATTCCTTTATCCTTTTAGGCTGCTAACTGGTCACATCCTTGTTTCCACCTGCACAAAGCAGATGAGAGTTCCTGAGGTTACCTACAGAACTTCTACCATCCTGGCAGGAAGACAGGCCCCTCTGCAGAGTTCTGACTCCAATTCTCAATGAGTTTCCTCTATCATTAGCTCCTCAATTCTAAAATGAGGATAAAAACAAGTGTCTGAAGGTTATTGAAAAGACTAAAGATGGTAATGTGGGCAAAGCCTTCAGCCCAGCACTGGCTGAGAGCTCAACACAAGTAGCTATTATTCTCACTAAGGTAACCACTAGCACGAGCTCCCAAACTAAACCTTGTCATGGGCAGAAAACAACTAAAATTAAACTCACATCAAATTCTTTCAGAAAATATTCACAGTATCAAATATTTTAGGACAGAAGTAGGACTTTGCCTGCCTTTTAAGTTTCTTGGCTCATTAAATATTTCACATAGAACAATCTGTACAAATGATCTTGAATGAGAAAAATGGCTTCTCATTTGGAAGAACTGCTTCTGTGAAAAAACTGTCATCAATTCTCATATATATCAAAGAAGAGAAATTAATAGAATATTAGAATACGGATGCCCAAAATGTAGCATGCCCACTGCCACTTTGCAGTCCTCTGTGTCCTGGTAGACATAACCAATTGATGATGGCACTCTTTCCCAACAAACCCACATGAGGCTTTATGTATCTTTTCAATACAACAGTCTAAGCAATCATAGCAGAGTCAATTTACCCTTCCTGTATTAGACAGTAATGATAAACTATAAACTGTGTCTCTTGAATTTATTTATTCATTTATTTATTTTGCGGAACCAGGGACTGAACTCAGGCCCTTGCGCTTATTCTACTGAGCCATCTCCCCAGCCCCTTCTTGAGTATATTCAAAATGCACATTTAATTTTTTCATTGATGTAGGTTGTCCACTGAGGTTAAAAAAACAAATGTTCCCACTAAGAAGAATATATGCAGTGTACTATTTGTTGAAAAAAAAACAAAAAAAAAAAACAAATGTTCTTTGATCCTAGCAGAAGCTTTAGGAGTAAATCTTGAGAAAATACAGGAATATGTGACCAGAAACTAAGAAGCTTGTATTGCAGTTCTGCTCCTTTCACTACCCACTGGACAAGTCATCCTAACTTTTCTATCTCTGCTTCTTTATCAACAAAAGATCACTTAAGTGCCTGCTTAGGCAAACATAGGGATTGAGATTTGATCCTTAGTACCGCAAGCCACATTGGCCTCCCATCCGGGTGCAATGAGCTGGCTACCAAGTCTGGGCATGGTGGCGCACACCTGTAATCCCAGCGCTGGGGAGACTGAAAACAGGAGGATCAGTACAAAGCCAAGCTATGTAGTGAGACCCTATACCAAATACGTAAAATAAAATAAAATAAGCCACTGATAATGTAGTTACTTACAGCTCTACAGAGTCCATCTTCTATCATTTGCAGACTCTGTACTTCAAATGTAGCACTTATTAAAATGTATTTGAGGGGTTGGTGAGATGGCTCAGTGGTCTAAAGCACCTACTTAGAACAAGCTAAGCTAAGCAAAGCACAGGGACCGTGGTTCAATCCCCCAGCACCACATGCCAGCCAGCCCCGCCCCCTGGTGGGCTGAGCTGGCCACACACACACAAA